TCTAGTTCAGAGGAGGTGGGGCCAGGTCAGTGAGATTTTTAAATCTTCCTTCAAGAGGCAGATGTGGAGCCGAGCGTGAGAAGCATTTGAGGAAGGAAACGCAGACCCCGACGTGTGCTGCCGTCACCAAGTCATGGTGTTTCCCCTAAACACCAAAAACCGTAAAGAGCATCGGCATCAGACAAGGTTGCTCTGTGACCCTGAGTGGCCAGAAAAAAACAAGGCCCCTCTGTTGTCAGGCTGGAGCCCAGATAAAACAGGAACTTTGTCCAAGACCCAAAAGTGACCCAGCGTCTCCCTATCCTGGCTAGCATGAGGGACTGTTGTTCCTTTTCCAGTTTTAGCCTTGGCCTTGGTCTGGGCTCCAAGATTTATGAAGAGACCCGGCCAGAGGATCACCTCCACTTAATGACAGCATCCAATCCAGAACAAAGCCCCAGTTCCTTGAAGTCACCTGCCGCCCGCCCAGAACACTCCCGTACAGGGAGAGCCTACACGTCCCTGTGGTGTGTGCTCTGCCTCACTGCAGGGAGCAGTAAACGTGCTTATTCAGCCACAGGCGTGCTCCTGGTGGCCTTTGTCTGGAGGGCATTGGCGCACTGAGCTCAGGTGCATTACTGACGTGGAAATGCAGAAAACTCCACCGTGGTGAGCAAAGGCATCTGAGCAAGGTCACAGTGACTGGCAGAGTTGGGACAGAGACCCAGGTCCGGAGGTGACCCAGCCTGCGCCCTTGACCCCAGGCCCAGGCTGAATCAGCTCTCAGCGGCTAAGCCCTGCTGGCCTGGGTCAGAGGACAGTGCAGAGAGCTTGCCCTCAGCATGCTGCCCTCTACCTCACCTCTTAGCGAAATGGCTACCTCTGCAGACCCTGGCCTCGGCCCCCTTCTGCGGTCACCGCTCCTGGCGATGTTGCTGTCTGAGCTCCCCAGTGCCTGTTGGGCTGAGGGACACTCCAGTAGGCACTGGCCACACACCCAGTGAAAATGATCGGGAGGTCCCAGAGTACAGAGGGACATTTCAGAGCATGACCAAGAGGCATTGCTTCCTAGTGGGGCGGAAAAGTCTGCCCTGGCCCTGGTGCTGCCACTTTCAAGCTGTGTGACTTCAGGCAGGTTCCCAAACAGCACTGAGCTCCAACTTCCTCGTCTGTAAAATGGGAACTACCTGCCGTGTTTGTGTTGTGTCTTCAAGTTGCAAGAAATGCCCTAAGAGGGCAAGTGCCATGCAAATCAGTAAGGTGTTACTTTTATTACTACTGTGACCCAGAGCTAACAGGCTAGCAGAATCTAAATATGCCCTGTCTAAAGAGTCAGAGATTCCTTTGGGTTCCGCTGCAGACAGCTTGATGAGCTTACGCAAGGCATCTTTGCATTTTTGTCAGCTACGTTTTTTTCAAAAGTTTTGGGTGGCAGTCAATATAGGATGTGTCTGTGTCACAGACGGCAAAGTCACGCACAAAGACATACGGATGTGTCCGGTCATATTTATAGGCAAACACAGTGGGACACACCCAGGCATACACACGGTCACATACAACCACACTGACAATCACACACGCAAAGGACACTAAACCAATCAGGCTAGGGATGTTTTCTATCCTCCCAGCTACATTCCCAGCCCCAAAGACAGTGTCAGGTACACGAAGAAACATTTTTGGAATGAACAAATGAGAGAGTGAGTGAATGAATGGGCAGGTGCAGGGGGCAGATGGGCAGATGGATGGACAGGAGAACGACAGCACACGTGGTTCATACAAACATACCCAAACACATTCCACAGTCCTCAGATCCTACTGGCTCTGCCATGCTCCCCTTCAAAAGACCCTCACGCCTGTCTCCCCTGCCCCCCAGGCACCGCGGCAGGTCCCCCGAGGAAGGGCGGAAGTCCCGCCGAAGGCACTCCCGCCGCTGCTCCAAGACCCTCGGCAAGGCCAGCCCCGAGGCCCGCTCCAGCCACCCGCCCAGCCAGCCCCTCCAGATGCTCAGCCTCCTGTCGGCCAGGGGTGTAGTAAGTATTCCACACAGCCTCCTCGGCCAGTCTTGGCCATGACACTGGGGGGAGGTGGAGACACAAGTTCAGGGCAGTGTACGGCACATTTTAACTCGGTTTTGGGCAAATACCCCGCTGTTTTTCAGACCTCAGTATTGCTTAACCAAAGGGTCATTCACCAGCCTTTAGCAGCACTCGGTTGGGGGAGGAAGTAAAGCTAAAACACCCAGGCTTCTTATCAGGGAAACATTGAAAACTACATGTCGGTCTCCAGAGTGACATCTGCAGGAATGCATGTGGGAGACACTGGAGGAGGTTTCTTTGGGGAGGAAGGAAAAGAGGGGGTCTTTGATGTACCAGAGGCATTCCAGCATTTCAGTGAAGTCTGCATCTTTGACACCAGCTCGCCTGCAGCATTGATTAGCAGCTGGGATTTGATTTCACCTATATAAACACGGCCTTGACTGTATATGAGAATTTTCCTTCAAGGAGCTCATAGCACTTGCTCTGTGTCTTCTCATGTGTCTACACAAGGTCTCAGGGAATTGGGGGTATGGCTGCTCTCACTGGTGCCTTTCACAGATGGGACAGAAAAACCAAGGCTCAGAGAGGTTACGGTCTGAGGTAAAGCCACAGAGCAAAGCAAGAGTGAATCCGATTGAGCAACCCCACATTGAATGGAATCCTGGAACGCTCCCCTCAGGTCAATAAGGAGGAGCTGGAATGTGGCTTCAGACAGTCTGACACCAGGAAGTTTCCCCAGGCAAGGGCTTTAGAGTTGGATCTGAACTCAGGTCCTAGCGCTGCTATTTGCTGGTTGTGTGGCTTTGGGAAAGTTGCTTAACTTCTTTGAAACTCAGCATTCTCATTGGCACTTGAAATAATACCACCTGCATATGGGGTTGTTGGGGACATCCAGTAAGATAAAGTATGCGAAGGCCTTTTGTCGATGCTCAGGGGATAGAGACACAAACGGGAGGAGATGCAACGTTGACACAGACTCCAGTCGCAGCTAACAGCTATGAGTGTCTTCTAGCTATGAGTGAATCTGAAAATTTCAGATGAGGTGAAATAAAGGAGAAGTTCAGTGTACTTACAGGAAGGTCAAGGAAGGGAAGGCCATGGTAAACACTAGCTGGGCCTGGTTGATGCAAGTTATCACCTGCAGTGCATTCTGGGAAACTCATTTTTACCAGGCAAGGCACCCTGGCTCACCAAGGTCTCATTTTGTCCACATCCTCTGCCTAGCTAGAACCATCCACAACTTTCCCAGCTCCCTCCCCTCTTTGTAGAAGGGCCTTGTGATTGCTGAGTAGTTTGCAGATGGAAAATGCCCACCTGCATTCCGCGCCCCCCCCCCCCCCCCCCCCCCCCCCCCCCCGCCCGGCCCACCACCACTGATGTGTTATAAAATGTCTTCCCAGCATGGCAGAGAGTCTGTGGAGGCCTAGGTGGGTGCAAGTCTTGGCTTAGCTGGACAATTCCTTCTACTCCTCTCAGCCTCAGCTTCCAAACCTGGCAAATGGGCATGCCAAGCTCATCTGTCTCCCAGGGGAATTGTTGCCAAGTTAGAAATCAATTTACAATAGCAGCAAGAAGGGGCAGAAGAATTTAAATGAGTAAAACTCACCCTGTCTTTCTGGTCCTGGTATTTGTGGCAGCCCAATTGGTGGCCCCAACTGACTCTCGCTTAAAAGTGCCATTGGGAACAACTGGCCTGTTTGATCCCCTTCCTGGGATGGTTTCCTAACAGGCCAGGTCTGTCCAGATGTTGAAAAAGGCTGGATGTTACTAAAAACAAAAAACAAAAGAGTGTGGTCCTCCCACGCCAGCTGGTAGGGAACCAGTTTGGCTATTGGTTCTTGAAGTCTCAGTGCCTCCCACGGGTCCAACCCCTCTCAGAAGAGCTGAAGGCCCATCTGTACCTAGAAGGGACAGGCATTAAGAGCTCACCTAGCTCAGTGCCCTGATTCCAAGAAGAGAAAACTGAGACTCAGAGAAGAGAAATGACTTCCGTGGGCTGTGGCAAGTTAGAGTTGTTCAAAACATGGGGCTGTGCTTATGCCGTCAAATACTGGCCCTGAGCTAGGGAGAGTTACTTAAACCTTTTCGGGCCACAGTTTCCTCACCTGTTTAAAAAAAATGTACATAATAAGTCTTTTCTTCAAAAACCCTGCTGTTAGGACAAAAGCAAACTAGTATGAGAAACTGTTCGGCTCGGTGCTTGGCCCAGGGGAAAACTCAGCAAATATTAGTGGGTGTTACGACTACAGCTTTCCGGGTACTGCTTGTGCACTTAGCAACTGTGGGACCTTGAGCAAGTTGCATAAACTTTCTGTGCTTCAGTCTTCTCTAAATCTGCAAAATGAGGGGAACGGTGAGACCTGCCTTGTAAGAGGGATGTTACGAGGATTCAATGAGTTAATGTAAGTAAACGTTCCAGACTGTAACACACAGAGATAGCCCTATGAGCCAGGCACTTTTGTTAGAACAAAAGTAGAGGAAGAAATGCTACTTAACGGTCGCTGCCAACAATAGTGGAAATGGTAATGGGGCAATGACAATAGCAGCAGCACTGGTAGCAGCAGGAGCTGTAGCAGCAGGAATGAGAGTGTGGCTCCAGGCCCAGGCTAGTCCTCGCAGGACTTGGGAGCAGAGCCGGGGCCTCTGTTTCCTCTGCTTTCAGTTTCCTCCATCCTAAATAGCAGCTGCAGCCCCAGTGGCTAGCCCCACCCTACTCACAGTTGTCTGACTTCTGGGGGCATCAGACACCCCCAAGTCTAGCCCTCCGAGTGCCCTCCATGCAAGACCCTTTCTCCTCTTCTCTCTTGCAAAAAGGCAGAGATGGATGAAGGTGCCAGGTTGGACCACAGGTTTCCTGAGCTCCCTATTAAAGAGAACAGCAAAGGCACTGCCCTTGGAGAATCCTTTCAATCACTCATTCAGATCTACCAAATATCCACAAAATAATCCATCAAGGGTCTGCCGTGCCGTGGCTCTCAGGATCCGGTGAACATACAACAGTCTAACAACCTTCAGGGAGATGAGCAGGTAAGACTAGACAATACACAACAACAAACTTGAGATGCGAGATCTGGAGGGCAGCAAGGCCCGGGGCGGAGTAGGGCTAGCATTAGGTTAGGGCAGAGAAAGTAACAACTAACTGAGAAACTGGTGGTGAGCAAGAATCAGCCAAAGGAAGCAGGAAGCAAAGATTGGAGTCAGGGATGGAGGCAGAATTCCAGGCCAAGAGATGGGGTTCTGGGGATAAGCAGGAACCTGAGTGTGAAGGGTCTTCTATGCCATGGTTCCTGCCACACTCCACTGCAGGTATTTCCTATGCACGGCTCGTTAAAAAATCAAGGACTGGCACATTACATCAAGGGGGGCCTATCTGCATACATGAATATGCAAATTCAGGGCTCTGTCTTATTGAAATCCTAGTTGGTGAGCTAAAGATAACCTGAAGCCCTCTTGCTCAGTCAGAGTCCAAATCCAAATGGAGGGTCCCAAGGAGATGATTTAGGGACCCTTCACAGTCTCATTCACGTTCTTTATCTCCACTCAACCATCTCTGTCCAAGGCATCAGGGAGACAGAGATGAATAAAACACTCTTCCTGAACTCCAGAGCTCAGTCTGGTAGTCAACAGCAGGCTGCAGTGCAGTGAAATAAGTGTTGTAATTAGGGCTGAGATTGAGTCAGTGAGCACCAGTTCCCCCTTTAGTTGCCACAATATTCAAAAACTTGCACAATAGTTGGTTAATAGACCCTCTCACCACACTACCCCCAAGTCACCAAAGGTATCCCCTCCCTCCCGTAGCACCTCTGGACCCTCTCACAAGTTCAGCAACTAAAGAGTGATACCTGATAGCCTTAGTACCAAGGCCAGCTACCTTTGGATGAGGCAGTATCCACACTCAACCACTTACTGACTATTGTGACTATCAACCATGGTGGTGATGGAAGTAAGTATAATGGGTAGTAAGACCACAGAGAAAGGACCAGACAGTGTTGCCTTGGCGCCTGACGGGGCTTTACAAATAAAGGAACATTTGAGCTGAGCTTTGAAGGATGGGTTCCCCAAATTGAGATGGCTGATGAATAAAGGGAGGGGGAGATACTGCTATGTGCCAGGCACTTTTGTTAGAACAAAAGTAAAGTAACATTATAAACTATCCCATATTTTGCACAGCTGTTGGGGTTTTTTTTGGTCTCAAAAACACTTCTTTGAGGTAGATGCAACTATTATCACCATTTTTCAGAGAGAGAAACAGGCTCACAGAGCCAAAGAGACTTAGGTAGGTGGCCCAGCTGGGAGGAAGGGGAGCTGGTATGTATCAGGGCTTGTGTCTCAGAAGCTTACTTTCATAGCCAGAGGACCGACTGGATGGCAGAGAGGTTGGTGGTGCGAAGCCTTGGCCAAGCCCTTTCCCTGTTGGCATGGGGCTCTCTGTTAAATCTGCCCTCACTGGAGAGGGAATCTGGAAGAGGGCTGATCTCTAGGACGCTAGACCAAGGAGAAGGACAGGCTCCCTTCCTCCTTCAGCCTCCAGCTTTGGCCAACAGTTGCCATGTATTCCTTGCCAACAAAAACCTGCAGATGCCATAAGAAAAAGAGAAATAGAAGGAGAGGGAGAAGGAAGAGAAGAGAAGAAGGAGAAGGAAAGGAACAGGAAGAGGGAGAGGAAGAAGAGGAAGAGGAAGAAGAGGAGGAAGGAGAAGGTAGAATGGTAGCAGAAAGAACCTGAGATCCATAAAAGAGGGCCTCATGAAATTTGTTAACAGGAGGAGGCAGGAGAGGGCAGTGATGAAGACATGGGCTTTGGAGCAGATCTGTAGACTCTGGGGTCATGATCTTGTCTCCCTGGGAGACCCTGGGTAACAACAACCAACGGAGCCAACTGAGCACCAACTATGTGCCAGTTGCTAGGCTGAATTCTCCACACGTGCCACCTCATCTGTTTCTTATAAGAGCCCTTCAAGAGAGCCCATTTTACACTGAGGAAACCATGGCGT